GCTGGTCTTGAATTCATGAGCTCAGGCGATCTACCTGACTAGGCCTCTCAGTGTGGGGATTACATGCGTGAGCCACTGTGCCCGGCATCAACCAGTCTTATAAAGCCTAACTCCACTGTACAGAGGAACCCAAAGCAATACAAAGTGTTTTCTTAAACAGATTTAACACACAAGAAATTTCCCAGGACTGCAGATATCATAAAAGCTGAGGGATGACTATAGTCTGTTTTGTTTGGAACTTTATGCAGAGTAGCTCCTCATCTTAGACTGTCACAGCACTTAAGGACATGCTGCTCAGGAATCTGGAGTGCCCACAGGGACCCTGGCAGTCTGCCTTTGCAGTTGTGCTTTTTTTTTTTTAAATGTTGAAACAGAGTCTCACTTTGCTGTCCTCAGTAGAATGCCGTGGTGTCACAGCTCACAGCAACCTCCAACTCTTGGGCTCAAGTGATTCTCTTGCCTCAGCCTCCTGAGTAGCTGGGACTACAGGCATGCATCACAATGCCTGGTTATTTTTAGAGAAGAGGTTTTGTTCCTGTGAGCTCAGGGCAATCCACCTGCCTCAGCCTCCCAGAGTGCTAGGATTACAGGTGTGAGCCATAGCACCCAGCCTGCAGCTATGCTTTCAGGGCAATTCCACCTCTTGGTTCAAGCATCTGACCCCTTGGATGGTCTTTAGGAGAGTCAGGCCCATGCACTCATGTAGCATTCTATAAGTGACTCCCCTTTATATTATAATTAGGTCATGTCACTGTTTTTTTGAAAATGCGAAGTTATGTGTATAAACGGGCTATGCTAACTCTGATTTCATTTCAGGTGGAAAAAGAAAGAGTTGAGACAGAGGGTAGATAGATATCTGATCCCCTGTACCACCCAGGTAGGGACGTGCCCTGCAGTCTGTACTAGGAAGACCTGCTGCTGTCACAATACCCACCCTCCCCAGCCCAGGGAGGTGGGAACTCACTTAAAGTAGTAGCCAGCAGGCTTCAGGGTGGAAGCGGGCTCGTTGGCCACAGACCACATCACCACTGCAGGGTGGTTCTTGTCCCTGCGCACCAGTTCCTCCATCACCTCCAGGTGGTGCCGGAGAGACACGTTGCTATAGCTCTCGCTGCAGGGCCCAGAGAAAGAGAGAGTGGGTCAAGGCCTGCCCTGCGGGGCAGGCTGGGCCACGTGGGCAGCAGGCACTCACGGCAGCACGATGCCCACGCCAGGACACTCATCGATGACCACGATGCCATAGCGGTCACAGAGCTGCATCACCTCCTCTGCGTAGGGGTAATGGCTGGTGCGGAAGGAGTTGGCACCAAGCCAGCGAAGTAGGTTGAAGTCCTTTATCAGCAGTGACCAATCAAAACCCTTCCCTCGGATCTAAGGGACAGCAGAACAGAGTGACCTCTGCCCTTGTCCCTTTTAGAAGTAGGCTCCTCTGACAGTCGCCCTCTATTTAGCCTTTATCCAGCCCGAGTCTAAGCCCCACTGCTGTATGGGTTTGAGCAGTTAGCTTAACTGCCCTGAGCTGCCATCACCTGCCTCCCAGGCACATGACGGTGAAAGGAGGGAAAATAGCTGCCCAGGGAGCCAGGAGCCCAACTCACATCTGCATCCTCATGCTTGTTGACACCATGGAAATAGAAAGGTTTCCCATTGATGAGGAACTGGCTCTCTGTGACAGCCACTGTGCGAATCCCAACAGGGAGAGTGTAGATATCAAACATAGGCCCGGATGCCATCTGTGCAGTCAATCTCACCTACAAAAGCCAGAGCACCAGGAGTGAGGACCCTGATGGCATAAGCCCCATCCAGCCTGCCCTCCAGCATGAAGGACTCTCGTACACTAGAATGGCCCACCTCTGGACCTGTAAGCAGAACTGCAGAAAGTCCAGCCTCTGCCATTAGTCAGGGGAAACCTTCCCCTCCACTGCCCTTGAGGCCTGCTCCTCAAAACTGGGCCTTTTCCCCAATCAAGGGTGGAAAACCTCCAAAAGCTTAGAGGCCCATGCCTATCTGTCCACCTGTCCTGGGCTCCTGAGGAAGCCAAGGCCACAAGATATGGGCAACAGACCACCCTTACCACCAGTCCTAAACCACTGTTACCTCCAATGAGTATAGGTAGGCAGGGTTCTTGTGCATGAGGTATGGCCACCAGAGGTGAGCACTGGGCACTTGCAACTGGCCCCGGCTCCCTGTCCCCTTGGCCACGATTCTGCCTTCTTCATCCCAAAGAAACACTTCCAGCTGGAAATGCTCACTGCCCTGGACAGAAACCTGGTAATTCACTAGCCCTGCAGGAAACAAGAGAGATCAGGGCTAAGGGCAGGCCACACCCTGGGTCACATGGTTGGGAGCACCCTGCAGCCACCACCCTACGGAGGCCACTTGTTGCTTGAACACACTGTGCACCGAAGGCAGATTAAGCGAAGGCAGCACTGTGAGGAATCTCATCCCGTAATACGTGATTTTAGGCAAGACACCACTTTTCAAGAGGTCAACCACATGTGTGATTTCTGAAGCCCTTGCCAGCTCAGACAGTCTGATTGTGCCTTCGTAGGTAGAAGGAAACCTGTGAGAGTCTGGAGATTCTGAAAGAGCCTTTTCCCTGAGCAATCTTTCCAAACAGAATGGAGCCATTCTGGGCCCTGCTGAAGGCAAATCCTGCCAGGAGTGTCAAATCCCTCACCAGTGTCTTGATCCACACCAGTAGTGACAGTGATGTCATCGATGTAGACAGTGGGTGTGGTATACAGGAGCACTGGCCGGTGCAGTCCCGCGTAGTTGAAGAAGTCGAATGTCGTGTCCTGAACAAAATAACCCTTGGGATACCTAGAGTGGGAGGACAATGGCCAATTGGGACCCTGCCCTGCATCCTTCAACTTCAGCTCACACATATCCCTGGCCCCTAGACCCAGGGCCCTCACTCTGCTGAGGCCACCCTGTCCCTAGTCAGAAAACCACTGGGCAGGGCAGGGAGACCCTGGGGAAAGGCGGAGAGAGGATGTTGCTCACTTGGAAGTATCATTGAGGTAGTGGATGGTCCCTGGCGGCAGGGTGTGGGGGGTAAGCGTGTTGTTGATGGCGATGGTAATACGGCAGGAAGACAGGGGTCCACTCTGGACCAGCTTGCTGATGTCAACCTCGAAGGGGAGGTGGCCCCCTTCATGCTCTGCCACGTGGACTCCATTCACCCACTGCAGATATAAGGAGACATGGACGGGTAGCAGGCCAGAGCATGGGGGGCCCCTGCCATCTCAGGTACTCCCTTACATAAAGTACAATACCAAGGGGGCTCAGGCACCACCTGCCTTGCCAGACTGATAGGAAGAATGGTGCTCCAGAGAGGAGATTAGGCAACTTTCCCCCCAGCCAGGGCACAGAACCCAGGGTAGAGCATGAGTGTCCCCCACTGCCCCACCCTAAGGGGGCAGGCTGTCAGGTGGCAGCTGGGACCCAGGTACCCCAAAAGCAGCCCCATGCACACTCAGCAGCTATGCCTGCCCACTTATCCTGCCTGTGTTCTACACTGACCACAATGGCATAATAGTGGGCACTGCCAATCCTCAGCACCACTCTCATGTCTGGGTCCTGGGTCCATCGTTGGGGCAGGGCTGCCTCCCGCTCATACCACACCCAGCCGACAAAGGTCCGTAG